TCAGAAACACCACATTGTGGGGCTAGGTGTTTTCCAATAGTTTCCCCCATGCCAAACCACCGAGATAGCAGTTGTCTGCATGAGAAAGATGACCTCCGCAGCACAAGGTAATTACTCAGCAAAGAAAACTGGGGTATCTGCATTCTGACCTCTAAACCCAGAACTCCCAACCCTGGCTTCTGCTCTTACAGCTCCAGTTCACTATGCCCTTCCTCTTCCAGAGCACAAGGTGAGTAGCTGTACAGGGAATTTTGGGCATTGGCCCTTTAATAGGGTGCCTGAATTTCTAGCCTTCTCTCCCTCTCAGACAGAAACCCCACTGCTTTTCACAGCCAGATGTTCTGTAGGTACCCTTCTCAGTTGTGATGCTCTCTGTTGGGTGGCTCAGCTTGGGGATGTAATCCAACCCCCCCACCCCCATCTGAGATATCTCTGCGGAACTTCAGTTGCTGTCTGTGGGAGCCTGGCCAGCCCTTTTGCACCTCCACCCTCCTACCAGTCTCTATGCAGTCTCCATTTTCCATCCTCGGTTATCAGGGTTCTCTCCAGTGAGTCTTTTGTTGATTATTCAGTAAGTTTTTCCATATTTTAGTTGTAATTCCAGTTTGATCCTGGGAGCCTGTCAGTGCAGCATCCACTTACTCCACCGCCATTTTTAATCTAAGTGGCAAGAGTAAGGTTTGCAATCCGAGGAGAAAGTCTCATCAGTTGGAGGCCGGTGACAATGTACTGTGAGGCAGTCCTTTTAAGAATAAGTTCTCTGTGCACTACTAATCCACAGTAGTCAGCTGTTTATAAAGAAACAAGGTATGACTCAGGGACACTAGGAAGGACTGTATGTAGAGCATGCCAATATTAGTTCCAACAACATGTGGACATTTGTAAATGCACACGATATCTGTGGAGAGAAATCATGATCCTTTATTACATGGTGATGAATGGGACCTGGATGGCTGGTAACAGGCCCAGAAGGAAAATTACATTTTCCCTATATATATTTCTACCTTTTAGATGTTAAATCATATGAATATATTACCTATTAACACAAAAATAAATATACTTTTTGATAATAATATCCTAAGAGGATGTTGATATAAGACAAATACAAAAGCTAGCAATGGTCCACAAAAAATTGCTTTTTAAATCATCATAGCTATTCAGGCATCCTGGCAAGAGTAGGTGAAGGGAGCTCCAGGCTCCCATTGCCCTATAAAAC